ATTTTACTCCGTGGTAAACTTACTCCAGAATAAGAAGCAGACACACAACCAGTTCCCCCAGGTTGGTAGCCTGCATTAAGTGCCTGCACAACACTTGATCCTAGGCAGCTGGGGAGCTGGCTTACAGTGGTGCAAACAGCTATTTTGGGATTGATTAGGGGAGTGGACACACAAACAGTACACTGGTGTACTATTTATCACTATAGAACTATTCCTCACTTGTTGAGTGGTAAGTTTACACTGGAGTGGAGTGACTTATGGTGATGTAAAACTGTGCGTCGAGTGCCCACTGCACTTTTACTATGGAGTAAAGTCTATGTACTACAGAATAAACAAGTTGAATGCTTTTATCAGTCCTAAATGGTCTGGACTCAGGTATCAAAAGCGGACTGGCTAAATTCGCTGATGACACCACACTATGGGGAAGTGTGATCACACTAGAGGATAGGCTGGTGATTCAGGCTGACCTGGACAGGCTTGCAAGATGAGCAGACCAAAACCTGATGGCATTCAACACAGAAATGCATGGTGCTCCACCGTGGGGGTGGGGAATCTGCATCACGCCTATAGGCTCAGCACTGCTACACTTGCTAGCACTATGACCGAAAGGGACTTGGGGGTCATGACTGACCACAAGATGAACACAAGCCACCAATGTGATGCTGCAGCTGGCAAAGCAAACAAAACCCTGGCTTGCATCTATTGATCCATCTCAAGCAAGACCCAGGAAGTCATCCTCTGGCTGTACTTGGCCTTGGTGAGGCCACAGTTAGAGTACTGCATCCAGTTCTGGGCTCTGCACTTTAGGAAGGATGTGCAGAAGCTTGAGAGAGTTCAGAGGAGAGCCATGCACATGACTGGAGGACAAGAGAACAAGTCTTATGAGGAAAGGCTGAGAGACATGGGACTCTTCAGCCTGGAAAAGCAAAGGCTCAGGGGGGCTTGATGGCAGCCTATAAATATATATCTGTTCACCAGGGCACCCCAAGGGAAGACAAGGTCTAACGGTCACAAACTCCGGGAAGACTGTTTTAGACTGGACATAAGGAAAAACTACTTTACCGTCCAAGTTCCCAAAGTCTGGAACAGATTCCCCCTAGAAGTGGTGCAAGCACCTACTCTGGATGCCTTCAAGGCACGTTTGGATGCTTATCTTGCTGAGCTCATTTGACCACAGCAGACTTCCTGCCCCTTGGGCGGGGGGCTGGACCCAATGATCTTGCAAGGTCCCTTCCAGCCCTGATGTCTATGAAATCTATGAAATCTAATGGGTAATTATTTTCTTACTGAAAATAGAGGCAGTACAAGCCTAACCTACAATGGGTCTCCACTAGGCACCAGCATTAGCCTGTACTTTTAGAGCAGAGAGGTGCTTTTAGACCATCCCAACCTAAAACGAGTTGTCTTTTCTTGTTCTCATTGTCTCAGAGTCTTGTGACAATAAAAGAGAGATCACAAACCACGCTGACTGGTCATCTCTCCTATTAATAACCCCCCACTTAGTAAAGGACATTTCTGCTTCAGAAAGTGTAAGTGTGCAGATTAAACTGAGTTATAAGCATTTCTGAGGCTATGTCACTGTGTATAGGAAATAGGATCCCTGAGGCTTCAAGAAAAAAAAAAACATGCATTGCACCCCAGAGACAAACAACTTGGATATTTCAGGAAACCGTGCACCATGATGCAGCTTTTTCCCTTCCCTGTGTAAGTGAGTTATGAGAGGATGGTGTGCAAGGAAGGAAGCCTTCAGGAGAAGAGATAAGATTTTGAAACGGGAGGTATGGCAGAGAACTCAATATTACTGTGAGTGTGACCAGTGGCCAAGATGAGCTCTCAGTGCGGGGAGTGGGGCTCACTGTGTATGGACTACCCTATTAAAGGGGGTGTAATTCCAGGGAGGGTGTGTGATTCCCACAGCACCCTCCCTGGACCTGCCCCTGGAAGCATTTTGAATTCTATAGAGAATCACAGCAGACTTTTTGTATCCTGCTGTGCCCAAAACAAACCACCAAACTCTGATCTGGCTTCTGGACAAATTAAGCTCTTTGCTTAAGGATACTGGAAATGGCACAACTGGCACCTGACACCTTTGCATTGGTGGAGTCAACAGAGCCAGAGGGACCAGAGAAATAACACAGGTCTCCAGACTGCTGCAAGGTAAACTTCAGGAGTGGCTGGCACAGGCAAGGAGAGATGCAGGGAACTAGGCAGCCTTCCACAGAGGCTGTTGTATAGACAGTGACACAACTCTCAGTCCTGAGGCTCAGGTCTCATCCACACCATCACTTCATTGAAAGGAAGTCATTTCACAGATACAGGTAAATGTAGAGGCAATTTGGCTCTATTTGGAAGCCAGCAGGCAAAATACCAAGGCTATTGACTCCTGGTTATTGAGTCTGGCAGAGCAGAGAAACTGAGGACCAGACTTCTTTCATCTGCCCAAAGAATTTGAGTACTTGGGTTTGCATCACAAAGCAACCAGTCAGCTTCTGTGAGGTCACTTTTGTCTTGCTGGTGGCCTACCTGCATATGTATGCTAAGGTCAGATAGAACAAGGAGCAATGGTCTCAAGTTACAGCAAGGGAAGTTTAGGTTAGACATTAGGAAGAACTTTCTCACTAGGAGGACAGTAAACCACTGAAACAAGTTACCCAGAGAGGTGGTGGAATCTCCATCTTTGCAGGTTTTTAAGATTTGGTTAAACAAAGCCTTGGCTGGGACAAAATAGTTAAGGATGGTCCTGCCTTGAGCACAGGGTTAAATTAGATAACCTCCTGAGGTCCCTTCCAACCCTAATTGTCTATGATTCTGTTATGGTTCTATCTGAGTTGTTTTCCATCCACTTTCCCTGGGCAGCAGGATGTGGGCTGTTGTTGTGGTAGATTCCAGAGGATGCAACTGTCCTTTTTTACTGGTTCCCACTTTGCAAGGGGGTTAGAACAGAGCTCCATTTAAGGCTTTTCATTGTTCTGGGCACAAATCCAGATGTGGTGCCAGCCTCTGTGGGGTGAAGATGGGAATGAAAGTGCCACTAGTGTGCTGTGCATCAAAGGGGCTCAGCTTTGGGCACTTCCAAGGAATCCCCCCATATTAGGAGAACTAATCAGGGGAAGACTGAATGGTGATTGGCAAGGAGTCCCCGGCCTCTGTCCCAAGCCAAACTGCTCCTCTGTCCCATGGTATGTGTGGGTCAATGGATGGAGCAAGCTCCCTATTCCAAGCCCTTTGGAATAAGCACCCTAAAATGACCTCCCAAGATAGGGAGTCTTGGGGGTCCTGTGCAGCACCTAGCCTGAGTGAGAAATGAAGTCACCTGCCCTATTTCCGACACCTCATCAGGCACCATGTGGGTGAAGACCCCTCAACTTCGGGGGACCTATGATTCCAGTTCCCTCCACACCCAGCAATGAACAGAGCTGCTCAGATACCTTGTGCAAAGGTATGATCTGTAAGGACCTCTGCTCCTTAGTACAACTAGGAGGACTAGGGCATCTGCATTCCCTCCCAATTTTTTACCTCACAGCTGAGCTTAGTCTGGGCTTTTCTTGCGCGTAGAGACCACCATCTCCATTCAGGGCAGTGGCTACTAGTGACACTGGCTCCCTACTGATTAACCACCGAGGCTACTCCATAATTATCGTGGCAGGAGTTTGTTTCTGCCTTCTCTTTGTGCTGGATGTTTAGAGAATCCAGCACAGCTTGGATGTTCCAGAAACTTTTATATTTGGTAAGAAACCAGGTTAGGACACTTTAGCCTGGTCAGCTTCCTCTGGTTGGGAGAAAGCTGTTAGAGCAGGATCTTCCACCCCATAATGGTGATTTCATCCCCAGCCCCTGCCTGGAGCTGGTTGATGGTATCCCTGATCAGAAGAAAGTTTATCTGCTTTGCTAGATCTGTGGCTGCTCTTGGTATCCAGAGAGATGTTGAATTCCCTGCAGGTATCAGGAAGTGTGGAGGGATAGGGAGAGTCTTGGGTATAACGTGGATCAACATAGTCTGTAGCTGTAGAGGACAAAGCCAATATGGCATAAACATGTGTCACAAATGTATGCCATAGCTGCTGTGGGAAAGGAACTTCTGTATCATTGGATTCTGTTCAATCTCCTTTGGGATAGCTTAGCCACTCTCTTTGGAGTCCACTATAGATGACAAGAATGGCACCTACACCATTCCCTGTCCATGAATCAATTAAAGACTGGTTTTGTGCCTACTCGCAGCCTTAGTTTTCATGAAGGGAGTGAGCTTCAGTGCAGCAGGGTTTAAGTTATCAGCTGCTCTGTGGGGGCGTGCTTAGACCCATGTTTTTCAGTTCCTAGGAGGCCTGGTGGGGGCATGGTAAAGGGCTGTAGCTGAGTAAGGATTGAGACCCACCTGGGTTGTTAGAAAGACAGCTTTTATTGACTATGCAGTGTGAGGGAGCTCGTTGGTATAAAAGTGTACCAAGACAAGCAGAAAAAGGGGTGGCAGTAGAGTTCTGGCTGCATAGTGCATACCAGAGTAATCACTTGCAACAGGAGAGGGGTTGAGGAAATATGCAGTGTGGGTTGCCTGTGATGTAGTGTGGGATGACCAGACCCATGTCATGAAATGTTTGGTGTCCACAAGGTTTGGTAACCTTGACCTAGCTCACAATAAACCGTTTCAAAACAGTACTTGATTTTCCTGGTACACTTTTGAACCATTATGGGCAGCTTTACACCAGTGTAACAGGCTTGTATCCATTCACATGTGGTTTATACTGGATTTACACAGGTCTGGATATGTACTGGACTATCTTGGCTGAGGCATGCGACCCCTGCTCCCTTTCCCTCCTGATGTGCACATGATTTAAAGACCGGGGCATGAGGGAGTGTCTTAGCTGGAAGGGGCTTCTTAATGCTTGCACACAATTTAGGTTGAGCCTGTGTGCTCAGATCACTCTTCTGGGGCAGCCAGTATCTTTCCTGGCTGTCCTGTCCCCTCATCCCAATCCTATTCTATATCCCTGCAGGTGAAATCTATGAGGGGAGCCAACTGGACACTGGTGACAGAGTTCATCCTAGTGGGACTCTCCCATCACCCCCAGGCACAAACTGTCTTCTTCTGGCTGCTGCTGCTTATCTACCTTGTGACTCTGCTGGGAAATGGACTCATCCTGGCCATGATCTGGGGGGACCCACGGCTCCACACCCCCATGTACTTCTTCCTCAGCAATCTCTCCTTCCTTGACCTCTGCTACTCTACCAGCTCTGCCCCCCCAATGCTGGCAAACTGCTTTGCAGAAACTCCCACCATCTCCTTCACTAACTGCTATGCCCAGATGTGTATCTCGCTGTATCTGGGTGTGACAGAGTGCCTCCTGCTGGCTGTCATGGCCTACGACCGCTTTGTGGCCATTTGCAACCCACTGCGCTACCCTTTGATCATGAGTGGGAGGGTGTGCCTTCAGATGGCAGTTGGCGTGTGGACCAGTGCATTCCTCCTGACAGTGGTCCCCACACTCACATTACCATCTGAATTCTGTGGGCCCAATGTGATCAACCACTTCACCTGCAAGGTCCAGGCTGTGCTGAAGCTAGCCTGCTCTGACACATATCTCAATGGCACCATGATGTTTGCCAGTGGGGTACTGACGCTTCTTGTACCCTTTGCCTTCATCCTGGTGACATACATCCGCATTGGCATGGCTGTGCTGCGCATTCGGTCAGCCAAGGGCAGGAGCAAAGCTGTATCCACCTGTGGATCCCACCTGACTGTGGTCAGCATATTGTATGGCACAGCCATGGTCATGTATGTTCGCCCACAGGCAAAGTCTGCCTCCGATCAGGACAAGCTCATTGCTGTGTTCTATGGACTTGTCACGCCCATGCTGAATCCTCTTATCTATAGTCTGAGGAACAAGGATGTGCAAGGAGCACTGAAAAGAGTGTCTGGCAGGAAAATGGCTGCATAAATCCTGTAAAAGAAGCTACACTGAGTTGGATTGCTCCTTTGATAATCTCCCATTATAGCAAAATTCCAGCAAGACAAAGCACCAGGAGCTGGGGCCAGGTGGGGCAGCCATTGACAGGGCTGGGAGTGGAGGCAGGTGATGGGGCCAATTCAGGGATTTGTCTGATTTGTCAGTGGCTGAATCTCCGAATCAGATTTGGCCAAATCAATTTGGGATAGTGGTTCAAATCACTGAACTGAATCACTGTCCCCCGAATTGGCCGAGTCTGAAACCAAAGCGAATATACTAGCTGTTTTGCACAGGCCTAATAGTTGCATCACTTGGCACTTGCTACCGCTGTTTAGTTCACTAAGGGTCCTCTGTTCTCCTCTGCTCTCAGAAATTTCCTGCTTATATCATTACTCATAGGTTCTAATCAAGTAACCTCTGGACTTTCTTGTGCGCATCCTTTTTTTTTTTTTTTCTCTCATCGAGGAAGGTTTTTCAGACCTCAGATGATGAGGTTATTCTTTTCTGAAGCATTCTGAATTTTTTAACATCCCTACTGATGTGTGAGGAAACTGAAATCAAAACAGTCTGTGGTGTCAGCAGGCGGTGCTGCTTCTCTGTTACTTGGTGGTATCCTTCCACGTTGTGGCTATGTCTACACTGCAATCTGAGGGTGGCTGCTGCAGCACCAGTGTAGCCATGTTAGCCTTAATCTAGCCACTTGGTGTGAGAATATAGTGAAGATACAGCAGCATGGTCTCTTCATATATGCTCTGGACAACTAAAGTGTGTGCTTGGCTACCTTTGGCCAGGATAAAGTCCATGCCATTGCATCTTCCATACCATGGTTACCCATGCTAGATGGCTTAAAGCTAGCCCTGGTAGGATGGTCTCTCCCAGACTCCTGCTTAAAACTGAGGTATAGCCACAGAGATCAAGGAGCTGCTTCTGTGATGTGTTGGACAAAAGTCACAGTCATGCTTCATTCTGATTCTGCCTCAAAATGGGGAAGAGGTTTCTTCTACTAGTGGAAGGGCTTGTTAGCGAACAAGGGGCAGAATGAAGTAGGCAGGTGAAGCTGGATGAATTCAAATAGTGCAGTTCTTCAACAGAGGGGAAGGGGTTTGCTATTGGAACAAATTCCACAGGGTCAGGATTGTGGGGGCAGGGGCAATTTTCTGTTCCTGAGAACACTCAAAGCAAATCTGGAGGTCTCTTTTTAGAAGATCTGCCATTTAACCCTGAAATCCTGGCTGGGATGCAGGAGTGGTAATGCGCCATACAGTGACACAAGGACAACCACTGGATGCACCCACCCTGGATATACAGGCAGTCCTCGGACTTGCGATACAATTGGTTCCTGAAAAGCACATCTTAAGTCGAAATGTTGTAACTCGGAACGATTTTCCCATAGGAAACAATGTTATAAATGGGGGATTGGTTCCTGAACCAAGGCCCAATACTCTATTTTTACCAAAAATAACCCAGAATTTTGTACTCAATCAATTATAGATGAGTAATATAGCTACATTAATGTATTATATTATAAATAGCAATCATTTCTATTTGGAAGGACTTCTTTGAGGTGACTCTGCTGGACTTTCTGAAGGGCTCTTGGCTGGAGTCTTCTCAGGAGTCTTGGCTTCAGGTTTTTTTGGAGTCTTGTCTGCTTTCTTAAGAAAGTGTTCAATGAAGTTTGAGCAGATGTTCTCCAGAGACACAGGCGATACAGCAAACTTGTTCACTGGCGTAGCATCGCATCAGATCAAGCGTTGTAAAGTTAAAACTGATGTCAGAAATTTGAAACAGGGTGTCAATTTATAAACGTTGTAAGTGCAAAATGTTGTAACTCAAAATGTTGTAAATATAGGACTGCCTGTAGGGCAATTGGTGCCAGAAAGAGTCTCCAGCAGCCGTTCTAGAAGCTGCTCTGTGAGTCACCAGGGAGGGTTGGGTGTCCCAGAGCCAGTGTGAACCCCCATGCATTTAGGAGCAGGAACTGTAATCAAGAGATTGTTCTTCTGGCCTGTCCGTGTATGTAGAGGCAATGTCTGTGCTCCTGTCAACTCCAAGAGCATACATGAACTTTCTCTGTTCCTGGTATATCTGTGGGCCACTGGTCAGCCAAGGAGGCAAGCGTCATGGGGGCAAAAAGATTGAAAACAGGAGTGGTAGCATAACTAGGGGTGGGGTGATCAGATGTAGTGGTCAGGCAGGTACAGCCCCATGACCAGTAGTGTATATGGGGAGACAGGGGTGGAATAACTCCTTCTCAGAAGTGTGTTATCTTGCACCACATTTAAGTCAACTCCGCTCCACATATGTGTGCACACTCTGGGTGTGTATACACGTCACCATCCTATGGGGACATAGCAATGTGCTACATCACCATACGGTGCACTACGGCAACACAGCGATCATGCGGGTCTACATGTGATTGCCAACTATGTCCCCGTAGTGGCATGCTCCTTGGCTATAGCACGCCACTATAGTGACGTAGCAAGGAAATCTAAACTTGAGCCACATGGCACCATAGCAGTGTCACCATACAGCACTGTATAGACACACCCTCGGACAGTTAAGTCAACTTAAAGTTAAGCCATTTTAACTATCAGACAATTAGTATGCATGCACTGTAAGTTATTACACAAAGATGGGCACATATCAGGAGTCAATAGGCACCCCCTCTCAGTAGAGGATTCTGGGCTCTGGATGCTACAAAGATGGAGATATCTAAATTCCAGAAACGAGTGTCATTCATTTACACTCCCATGCTCCACTTCTCCTATTGGCTAACTCTAGGTATCTCCCTGCTCAGCTTCTGCGCTTTCTGAATAATCCTTTGGAGGCGCCTCAGTCTCCCCACTGACTTCCTGGGAATCTTAAGGGTCTAATCCTACCCATCAACCTCCTAGGCAGCACCCATCTGGAGGTACTTAAGGGGCCCATGTGGCTTTTGAGTTCTCTATCATCTGCAAATGTAACAACCTTCCTGCTCCCCACCCCACTCCTTTTCCCAGATCATTAATAAATATAGTCTACTCATTTCCTGTCTTCTAGCCCATTTTTGATCTATGACAACACAGAGACAACACAAACACACATGACATAGCTTCTGTAGTAACTTGCTAAACAGGAACTTCTGGAAGGCTTTTTAAAATCTAAATTAATTATGCTACCTCACTTTCCAGCACCCATTGATTTAACTGACACATTGAAAGAAACAATGCCACATACTCCATGAATTTGAGTCGCCCTAAGGACAAAGATAATTCTTCCTCTAGCCATCCCCCTACCCCAGCAAGGGTCCCATGTCCCACATTGTTACAGCCACCATAGCAACAGAACCATATCCTCAGCAGTCATTGGCCATTCTAGGAACAGATTGACTTTTATTAGTAGATGTTAAGGATTGTAAATCCAAAAAAAGATGACAAAGCCAATAGGGAAATACAGTTCGCCCGGGCGAGGGACTAACAATAGAAGGATGGGGGTGAGGTTGGGAACGCAACTAGGTTACATGCGATACAAAGTTAGCCAACTAAGCCCGGCGGTAAGCGGGGAGGGAAGTGGGGAAGGGGAGGGGGGGGTTTCGCGACGCTGAGAGAAAAAGAGGATAGAAACACACATACCCGTGACAATGGTCCACAATGGTGGAAGAAGTGGTCCGAGGAAAAAGTGTCTCAGTCTAGATATAGTCTATTGCGGGGGTCCTCTTCGGGTGGCGCAGGGTCGTTGTCCGTTGTTGATGAGTCCTCTTGAAGCGAAGGTCCGTCTGGTGCAGGGGGGGGGTTCAGGCGGTCCCCTCTGGGTCCGGTCCGGCGGCTGTTCTCCTGGTGGGGTCCGTGTACTGGCGGTGGCCCGTGATGTGCTCCACGTAAATGTCGCGGGACCACCGGATGGTGTCGGACACCATGAGGCAGCGCATCAGCTTGGCGTAACAGCGGGAGACGCGGCAGGCATGCAGGACGCTCTCGGTACTGGGGTCCCCAGCTCCGAGCGTTCCC